AAAAAAAAAAAAAAAACAAAAATCATCAGAAAGATGCACTCGCGCTCACGAGTCTGTTCCATGTCTTCTACAGTCAGTGTAAATTTTTCTCTCTTCACACACACACACACACACACACACACACACACACACACACACACACACACACACACACACACACACACACACAACGATGCAACTGCAGCAACATGCGCATTGAGCTTGACCCTGCCGTGTCGAGCTACTCGTGGTTCCGCATCATGCCGCGCTACAAAGTCCGCGCCGAGGGCGAACGCGTCCGCATGGGCGATCAGGTGTGATTATCCGGCCTGAGTTACAGCCACACGCGTGTGCGTGCGCGCGTGTGCGTGTGGCGGCATGTTATGCCAGCGTGCCAGTGCTGTTGTGGCTGTCTCAGTAGTTGTGTTCTTCTCGTTCCTCCCCTGCAATGTTGCTTGAGGGTCATCGTCGCCACTCATCGTCGCCACTCATCACTCAACACACTCTCCTCCTCCTCCTCCCTTGTGTCGGTGGTTGCAGATTGTGCTTGAGAGCGTGAAGACGGGCGGGCAGTTTATGCACACGAGTGCAGCCATCCTGCCCGAGGACAAGAACATTGTCCCCGGCTGTCACGACATGAGCGCATCAGTCTCCCCAACGGCCCTCACCGTGTACCCGCACATGGTGTGTGTGTGTGTGTGTGTGTGCACGCGTGTGTCTTTGTATGTGTGTGTGCATTTCTATCATCACAAACGGATTTGTTTGTGTTGCACGATACGCTCTCTCTGTAATATCAACTCTTCCATGATCTGAAACCGTGTCTGTTATTCACACGCCCAACTCTCACCATCTTTCTGTTGTCCACACACACACACACACACACACACACACACACACACACACACACACACACACACACACACACACAAACACGCCACACACGTATAAACAGGCGCACCGCGACCCCGAGGCCAAAGGCGTGCGCGGCGGTGACTTTATTCAGCTGTTCCACAAGGAGATCAGCGCGTATCTCGCTGCAGAGGGCACCTACTTTGAGAACGCGCCACGGGAGGATGTGCACATGCGCATTCGCGAGCCAGACCCGCGTCGCCCGCACCGCCTCAAACCCCCAACAAGCGCCGTCTCCGTACGTCATGCGTGGTCGCCTCGTCTCGTGTTTTGTGACAGCGAGTCACGATTTGTTTTAAGTGTGTGATGTGTGTGTGTGATGTGTGTGTGTGTGTGTGATGTGTGTGTGTGTGCGTCCGTGAGCGTGCCGTTGTGGACCACACACGGTGGAATTGTTCAAGAGCACAATTCGCGGTGGGTGGCTGCATCATGGCTGCATCATCCCTCTTCTTCTCACGGTTCACTCCGGTTTTTGTTGTTCAGTTTTGGCAAATTGAGATTGACGGCCGCCCTACCGGCGGTGACCTCATCGAATGGGAGTCAAAGGTAAGCATGCCCTCGGCCCACACACACACACGCGCGCGCGCGCGAACACACACAAATCTGCAGTTGCGCGTGTAGTTTGATTTGATACAACAACGGGCCTTTGCATGTGGTTCACTGATGCTTAATCCTTCCTGCTTTGCTCTTCTCATCACCGCCTCACGTCAACACCACCACTGCTGTTGCTGTTACTACTGCCGCTGCTGCGCAGATCCGCCTGAAGCACGCGACGACGCAGAAGTACCTCAAGCTGCGCACAGACTCGTACCTGCCGTCCACGGAGGAGCCAAATGACGACGACGAAGACACCAGCTTGTGAGTCAACTACAAACAGCCATTCCACTTGTGATCACCAGTGTGGCTGTGTTGCTTGTGTTGATTGCCAGCTCAAGCTTTGCGCGTGGATGCAATACACCCGCTCACACATGACATGTACGCTCACATGCAACACACACACATACGCATGCACGCGCACACGCACCGTTGCCACCCATCCCCAGCGGCGGGTTTGAGCTGTCCAAGTCTGAGGCGACGGGCGGAGAGATGGTGCTGTCGCTCACGGACGACGCAAACGACCCCGACGCCGTCTTCCTCATGGTCGCAGTCATCCGCGAGAAGCACAACGTCGAGAACGGCGCTTACGCCCGCATCCAGCACTGCGCCACAGGTAAGCCCATGCAGCCGACGAAGGATGACATTGCTTGCACGCACACGTGTGTATGCGCGTGTGCATGTGTGCATGTGCATGCCACGCGTTGCCCGCGTTGTAATGTCACAATGCAAGCCAACACACCCTTCATATGTTTGAGCAGTGGGTCCTGCTTCTTTCTCCCACACACACACACACACACACACACACACACACACACACACACACACACACACACACACACACACACACACACACACACACACACACACACACACGCCTGTGCATCGCACTGATCGTTGTTGACAATCTTCTTTTTTTTTTTCGGTTCGCTGACTCTACTTCGGTTTTACTTGCCACCTCAACCACGCGTGATGTTGCATATGAATAGGCCACTGGCTGCATGCTGCAAAGACGCGACCATATGAGCGCCGCTGGCACTTTGAGATGGCCAACGACAAGCTGCGTACGCCCCTCTTTGAGAAGCTCGACCGCATCGAGTGGGACCAGGCCGAGCTCAAGCTCGTACGTTTAGGGGGAAGGGGGGAGAGGAGTGCCTCGTGTGTGTGTGTGTGTGTCTGCAAGTGCGCACGTGTATACACGTGTATGTTGCTTATGCACGCTTGTGTGTGCGTGCGCGCGTGTGCATGTGTACCCTTGTCGATGGTCTTGTGTGTCCAATGTAGTCTCCCGTGCACCTGCGCCTGACCCGCCCCCACCTTGTTTGCTTACCACACCAACGGCCACCCAATGTTGCACTGCAGGCGACGTGCACGCGCAACCGCATGTTCGATGACGCGTTCATCGTGCAACGCGTTCCCTTTGAGAACGTTTCCTATGTCAACTACGTCTCTGGCATGGTCGAGGTCGTTCGTTTCTTCATTCGCTCCCGCAAGACCGGTGCGTAGCACCCACAGCCCCTCTGTATTGAGGGGGAAGCCAGGGGCAGTGTTGAACTCATCTCGTCATGTTGTCTTGCATGCGTTCCGACGCAAGATCGTCCTTAACAGTCTGCACGCCCACGCCCACACTCGCGCTCACCCTCACTTTTTCATCCGCCTTCATTCACACACTCACATTCTCATTCATGTATGCACACGCGCAATGTGTAACTGCCTATTGCTTATGTGTGTGCGCAGGCGAGCTGTCCTCGCTGACGTACCGCGGGTTCCAGCAGGCGCTGCGGGAGTACACGATGTTCCTTTCGGACAACGGCAAGCTCAACCGCATGAAGCAGAAGCTGCTGCGCAACTTTGGCGTCGTTGAGCTGATTGTTGAGCTGCTGCAGGTGCCGTTTGCCGAGTACAACCTCGCTCCAAAGGGCATTGCCCTGGCCGACCTCCTCAATCCGCGCGACATCAAGGCCGAGGTTCGCTCCTCTGCTGCCTGGCCCGCTCCCTTGCTCGCTTGTGTGATTGCTGCTCCCCCCCCCCCCTCCTTTTTGTTTTGTCTCGTTGTTTTGTGTGCATTGATTGGTTGATTGATTGATTGATTGATTGATTGATTGATTGATTGATTGATTGATTGATTGATTGGTGCACTTTGTTTTTGCCTTGCTTACTACTTTGTTTTGTTGTTTTGCTTGTTTCCTCCACCTCTCCTTCCTCACGCTTATTCTGCCCCCCCCCCTCCTTGCCATGGCATGTGTTGGCCTCTCTTTCCGTTTTCGCACCGCAGACGAAGCGCACGCTTGTGTGTGCGTACAAGCTGTTGGCGGGCTTCCTCACGGGCGAGTCGCGCAAGAACGAGCTGTACGTGTGCAGGCACATTCCGTTCTTCCTGACGCAGCTTGGCTACGACCTCGACATGGAAACCATGTACACCGCCCTGGTCGAGGATAACCAGAAGATCGTCGACGTCCTTGGTGCGTAACACCCAACAACCAGCACACGCACACGCACACGCATGCACAGTCGCCAAAGAACGGTCTCCACAAGGCCCAACATCAATCATATGCTTCACGATGGATCAAACCCCGCCATCGAGCTCTCAACACCATGTGTCACGAACAACCACAAAGCGTCTTCGTCCAACCCTCACAACAAACCTTCCCCTCTCCGTCTCCCCTTTGTCTCCTTTCCTTCTCCTTCCCCTCCTTCTTCCTTCTTCTTTCGTCTGCGGTGCAGAGGAGCCTGAGATCCAGCAGATGGTTGATTTGCTGCACAAGGACAAGGACCCGCGCTACCTGCAGTTCCTCTCTGTCCTCTGCAGCGTGGACGGCGTGGCCATTGGCGAGAACCAGGAGCGCATTTGCAAGATGCTGCTCGAATGCGACCACCCGCCAGTCTACAAGACAAGGTGTGCATGGCTGCCTGTTTGATTGTTTGGTTTGGGTTGTTTGCCTGCTTGGCTGTTGTTCGTGCTCATGTGCTCTTCGGGTGTTGTTTTTTTTTTCTCTCTCTCTCTTCTTCTCCTTTTTCTTCTCCTTCTCCGCCCTCTTCTCCTCCTTCTTCTTCTTCTCCTTCTTTGACCTGCGCCTACTGATCTTGTCTTGTCGTCTTGATTGCACCGCCATCCCTGTTCTGCTCCGCTTCCCATATCCACCCCCACTCACGCATTCATGCACTCCATCTGTCCATGCCATGACGAAAAACCAGGCTGCAAGACAGGCGCGTGTTCATCAACATTGACGGCGTGAACTGGACGCCGCTGTCGGATTTTGCCCACACCGCCCGCAAGTCGCCCAACCGCTCTGTGCGCCGCACCTACGAGTTCTTTGTTGCGCAGCTCGACCTGTTTGGCGAGCTGTGCCTGCAACGGTGCAGCCACGCCATCCGCGTCATCACCCGCGATCTGGGATACCTTGGCTGGGAGGAGTGCTTCATGTGCGCCCGCGACGACAGCCTGCCGCCGTCCCTGCGCAAGCACTACGTCGAGCTCATGATCAACCTCTTCATCGACGTGGACTGGAACAACGACATCCTGGAGGAGGTGCAGCTGTGCTTTGAGTGGGACAAGCTGAGCGCCAAGCCCTTTGCTGAGGCCGGCAGCGACCCGAGCAAGAGCATCACGGGCGCGCAGATGCCCTTCTTCTCCGCCCTCAACGAGTGGATCCTTGAGTTTCTGCAGGAGCACCGCTCCCTGGAGGCCAACATGGTGGAGATGAACATGTTCATTGCCTCTGTGCTGCAGCTGGTGCGCCTGCTCGTCTCCTTTGGCTACTACGCCAACCCGGAAGACATTGAGCGCCTCATGCTGCAGCTCAAGCCCATGCTCAGCGGCTTCAACGATCGGCCCTCCCGCGACCCCGGCGAGCGCACGCATACGGTGACACGGCGAAAGGGCCTGCTGCGCCGCGAGACGTCCGCCATGGACGCAAACGACCGCAAGGTCGTCTCCGAGTGGCGCAAGAAGGAGCGCTACCTGTGCAACAACACTAACGATGCCATGGTGGACGTGAAGATTGCCGCCCTGGGCGTCATGGACACGCTGCTCAACTTCAGCCTCTCCGTGCGCATCGAGCAATTTTGCTTCGACTTCCGGCAGGTTGTCGGCTGGTCTGGCGAGCGCCGCAACACGCGCCAGTCCCGCGTGGGCCAGGTGTTCCACTTCAAAGAGCTCACGGACGGGCCAACCATGCACTTTGACACCATGCAGTGCCTGACCAAGATGTCCAAGAACGACCCCAACCTGGACCCGTACGAGCAGACGGACCTCGTGCGCTCGTATGTGGGGGAGCTCTTTGACCGCGCCAACTACCTGTGCCCCAAGTGGCGGCCAGAGGCGTCGGCGCTGCGCCAGGGCGGCGAGGACGACCTTGTTGAGATTCTGCTTGACCTGGCAAAGTACAAGTACCCGCGCCTGACGTGCAAGAGTCTGCAGCTGCTTGACCGCCTGTACAAGTCTGCGGAACACCTCTTCACGTACACGATTGACGCGCAGCTTCTGCTCGACCCCGAGAGCATCCGCCTGGACGCGCGCCTGAAGCAGGACATGCCTGTGCTGCGGCGCCTCGGTGCGGGCCAGATTGAGGTGGTGGAGATGGACGAGTTCAACGACATTCTCAAGGAGCTCACGGAGCTGTGCGTGGTGGACCGCCTCAACCCGCACGTCATCAACCAGCGCATGATTGTCAATCACGGCATCCTGAACGTGCTCTTTGACGTGCTCGACCAGGAGAACCAGCCCAAAGAGGTCATCATCAGCGTGCTGCGCTGCCTGGAGGTGCTTGCGCAGGACTACGAGTACGTGCAAGACGAGTTCTTTGAGCGCCTGGACAAAATCCTCACCATCGAGACAGACGCCACGGGCTGGGAGAACGCGCTGGCAGACGCCGTCATGGCCGTGTTTGCCGACAACCAGGAGCTGTCGCTGGCGCTGAGCGTGCAGCAGATTGAGCTGATGATGGACATCCTCGTCAAGCACAACGTGCGCGTGCCCAACATGGTCAACACGCTTCGCTCCATTGTCAAGTGCGAGGAGCTGGGCGTGCCGCTCCCGCGAAACCAGAACATCATCATGAAGAACCTCATGAAGCACTTTGCCGAGACAGTGGAGGTCACCTTCATTGACGTGGAGGTTGGCGACGAGAACAACGTCAAGCGCATTGAGCTGTGTGAGTACAGCGGCAAGGATGAGGCGAAGCTGCGCGAGCAGCGCTACCACGCCAACATGGTCGGCCTCATCGCCCAGTGCGCGGAGGGCTACACTCGCTTCATCGAGTCCACGTGCATGACCTTCTTTGAGATTGAGGAGATCATCGACGTACGTTGCTGGCTTCTGCTTCTGCTTCTGTGCTTACTTTTGACTTTTGGCTGGCTTTGTGTTGCGCCGTTTCCTTTGTCTGCTGGCACCCTGATTGGCTGGTTGATTGGCTGGTTGATTGGTCGGTTGGCTGGCTGATTGGTTGGTTGGTTGGTTAGTTGGTTGGTTGGCTGCATGTCCCTTTGATGCCACTATGCATACCACCGTTGCCACCCACGGTTGCCACTCACTCGCCACTCACTCGCCACTTACTCATCAATATCTCTTGCCACTCCCTCCAACACAGGTCATCGCCAACGACAAGATTCCGCTGTTCATCAAGACGGAGTACATGCGCTTCCTCAACTTTGTCTATCTTGAGACGACGGCCTCGCAGCTCGAGGTTCGAACATCATGCACAAACACGTTCAAAGCATTGTTGATACTTGTATCTTGCACACCACCAGTGCACCACTCTATGAACAACGTCCACGATCACCGCTCACACACGCATATACACAACTTGAACAACAACAACCACATCCACAACAACAACAACCACATCCACAACAACAACAACCACATCCACAACAACAACAACAACAACAACAACAACAACAACAACAACAACAACAACAACAACAACAACAACAACAACAACAACAACCACATCCGCAACCACATCCACAACCATCACCACCACCACCACCACCATCAACATATCACCAGGCTGGCACGCAGGACCTGTACTCGGACATGCGGCTGTGGCACAGCCTGCAGCACCTTGCCTCGCGCCACTTTGACGCGTTCTACACGCGGCAGACGGCGGAGTCGCCACTGCTGCCTGAGGACGAGGAGCGCTTCATTTACGAAGCGTTTCTCCCGCTGCTCACCGTTGTCATCCGCGACTTTTACCAGCCGAAGCTGTGCCCGACCTCGCAGAAGCCGCTTGCAGACATTGCCACGAAGATTTTCAGCTTTGCCGATCGCGCGCTGAACAACATCTTCAACCACGAGCACTTGAAGGAGCTGAGCATGGCCGTGCTTGCGCTCAAGAACGCAGAGGGCATCAACGCCCCGTCCGGCCTCGTCAACCGCATTGGTGAGGCGGCACCTGGGTTGCTCTTGTCTGCATGCGTGTTTTGTTGTGCACGTGTTTCGGACATGTGCATGTGTGTGTGTTAATGGGTTGGGGGGTTGTCTGTGTTTATGTGCGTGTGTGTGTATTTATGTAAGTGTGTGTGTGTGTCTTTGTGAATGTTTGGTGCTTTGTTGCGAGAGGTTTGTGACGGCGACGATGGTGACGGCGATGAACTGCAAGTTTTTTTGTGTCGCTGGACAGTCTGCTCGTTCTGTTTCTGTTTGTCGCGTTTAACCGACGACACAATGACATATAATCACCATGACACATGCCCGCCTTCCCACACTGGTGTGCACGGGGGCACCCGAAACTTCAACCCTCACTCCTACCACCCTCTCCACCACTGCCACCACTGCCACCCAGGCAAGGCACTGCGCAGCCACGAGGCGGACCTGGTGCGCACGCCGGCAAAGCAGCGGTACGATGCGCGCTTCTCGAAGCAGAACGAGATCAACGAGCTGCTCAACATGTATGTGGAGGCGGTGCGCAAGAGCTACTGCGGCCGCAACGACCTGCGCGTGCAGCTGCCCCACGCGGACTACGAGCCCCCAGAGCCCAAGCCGTACTGCGAGAACGAGGACGAGGACGAGCCACTGCCGCTCGGCCCAGACTTCCAGGCATTTGTCAACCTCTTTATTGAGTACGAGGTAGACGGCCGGGTGTGGGTCGCCAAGCGCCCGCGCGATGACCTGACGACGCTGGTGGAGTCGCTCAAGGCGTCCCGCCGCTACTACGCCACGCTGGAGACAAAGGACCAGGAGGTGCAGGAGAAGCTGGACATCCGTTGCCTGCAGGCACTGCGCTGCATCCTGCACAACCAGATCAAGTGCGAGAAGGAGTTTGAGTCGTTCCAGAACGATATTGCGTCACGCGGCACTGTGCTGCCTGTCGCAGACATGCTGTCCGTCCCCAGCGACGACGTTGTGCGTGAGGCGCTGTGTCTGCTGATTGTGCTGCTCGAGGGCGGCAACAAGACTGCGCAAGACAGCTTCTACGAGCACTTTATCGGCACGCGTGAGGAGACGTTCTTCCAGGACGTGCAGGCGCGCATTCGCCGCAGTATTGAGAGCATGCGCGAACTCCGCGCCCTCAAGCGTTCGCTGGAAATTGAGAGCTCCAAGGACAACGCCATGATGGGCACCATCACCATGATCAACCAGCTCGGCGATTCGGTGCGTGCGTGTGTGTATGGGCTGGGGGAAGCGTGCGTGCGTGTGTGAATATGGGCTGGGGGAAGCGTGCGTGCGTGTGTGTATGGGCTGGGGGAAGTGTGCGTGTGTGCCTGAACATTGTCGTACAAACACTTGTGTGTGCGTGTGTGTATGTGTGTGTGTGTGTGTGCACGCGTGGATGTGTATGCGCGGCTCTTGTTTCCCCCGACTGTTTGTTTTCTGGTCCCCCACCATGCTGCTGACCTCCCCTCCGCCCCCACTGCCCGTTCTGCTCTTCTCTTCTGCCCTCCTATGCACAACAACTGCAGGGCGAGGGTGGTATGGAGATGCAGACCATCTCCTCCAAGGCGTGCAAGGACGACGACGACCTTGGCATCAAGGACGAAGGCAACATCGAGCTTGTGCTGCGCGTGCTGCAGTACATGTGCGAGGGCCACAACTTCCAGCTGCAGGAGTACCTGCGGTTCCAAGCAGACAACATCCACCCCATCAACCTCGTCAACGTCACGGTGGACTTCCTCGCCACCATGATGGAGGACGTGTCCGATGACACCATCGAAGTCATCACCCAGGTATGCATACAGATGTGGTGCTGTTGGGTTTGCTGCTTGAGCTTCCTTTTTGTTTGTGTGTGTGTGTGTGTGCTGTCTCGCGATGCTGCTGCTGTGCTCCAATTGTGGTTATATTTACGTGCACTTGTACATTAGCCAAATACTGACGTACATACGCACGCATACACGCATACACATACATGCATACACGTACACACACGCACACGCACACACATCAGACGCTTGAGACGCTGGTTGAGTTCTCGCAGGGCTGCCCGAACAACCAGCAGAGCATCTTCGACTCCAAGGTTGTGGACTCGCTGAACCACCTGCTTCGCATCCCCAAGTTCTACGAGGTGTGCAAGGCAGAGAAGGTGGCACGGCTGCACCTGGCATGCGCTAACCTGGTGCTGGCCATGCTTGAGAACAGCGACGAGCGCACGCGCAGCATGGCCGTTGAGCTGGAGCAGACGCTGGACATTGAGCACGTGTTCAAGATGATGCACCACTACGACGAGGTGCACATGTCTGGTGCGGACCAGGAGTGGGAGACTGACGAGGACGAGGACGATGACCCCGTGCCCGCTCAGGACGTCGCCTCCGCCTTCTTCATCTGTATCGTGCGGTGCGTCTCCTTCGTGTTGCAGTCGATGTGTGTCTGTGCCTTGTGCTTGTGTGCTATTGCGTGTCCATCTTGTGTTTTTAGTTCTGTGTGTGTGTGTGTGTGCTTTTCGGTGTGTGTTTTGCTTTTGTGTGTCTGTCTGTGTTTTTATGGTTGTGCTTGTGTGCTTTTGTGTTTGTGTGTGTGTGTTTGTCACGCATGCGCTTGTCCTCCGCTCATCGTCGCACACACACAAACACACATGCAGGTTGAACGACTTTACGCACCGCAACTACCAGGACGACCCGAAGCTGAACCCCCCTGTGTTTGACAAGAACGGCCGCCGCATTCCAGATGTACGTGCACCCATTTGCTGCCCGTGCTGGAGTAATGTTCGGTGCACTGTATGTGCATGTGCTTTGTGTGCTCTTTGTACGTGCGTGAAGTGTGCATTGTGTTCGTATGTGTGTGTGTATGCGTGTTGTGTATCTCATGCTGACGCACGCATTGCATTCGCTGTTCAGACGTTTGCCAAGCTTGAGGGCGAAGTGTCGTCGATTGAGGTGCTGCGCGACGACCAGGTGCACCGCGTCCATTTCCTCAACAAGTGGGGCGACAAGATCAGGTGGGCGAACAACTCATATGCAAGCATGTGCCACATTGGTTCCTGGGTTGAGACAATGTCAGCAAAATGCGCACGCACGCACATGTGCACAAGCCCTCACAGTTCACACGCGCGCGTTCAAACGACCCTATTGCCATGTTCATCCATTCACCCATGCACCTTTCGATCCATTGACCCGTTCACTCACTCACTCACTCACTCACTCACTCACTCACTCACTCACTCACTCACTCACTCACTCACTCACTCACTCACTCACTCACTCACTCACTCACTCGTTCGTTTGCCCATCATTCACCCATGTTGCCACTGCGCCCCAGGCCCGCCGTGAAGGAGGAGCTCAAGTGGAACATTGAGCGCGGCTCCCCTGCCGAGCGCTTTGACGACTTCCTCTCTCGCGCTAAAGTCATTGTTGCCGACATCCGTACGTCCCTTTCTCTCATATTGGAGTGTAGCGAATGCATTTTGATTCTCGTGTTTCAGCTTGACCACGCTCCTTTGTGCTTTGTGTTTGTTTCTATTTGTTCAGTGTGAGTGCATCGCCGAGTGCATCGCGTATGCTCTTGTTTTTCGCTCAAGTCCAGCTGTGCATCTTACACCAACGCGTGTGCTCACACATGCACCAACGCCATTGCTCGCCCGCCTGTGTTTTTCTTGTCTTTTGTGCTTGCAGAGTACTTTGACCGGGTGATGAGCGCAAGCCCCGTGAGCCACGCCTTGCTGAAGCACTCTGCGCTGTGGAGCAAGATCATGCTGCTGCTTACGTTCATCCTCAACATCTTCATCCTTAGCCTGTGGCAAGCGCCCCGCACATGGAACACCGCCGTCCCAGACTACGCCTACGAGTGCGTTCCTTTTCTTGTATACAGCTTGCGCTCGCTTGCTGTATCGTGTGTATGCGTGTGTGTGTGTGTGTCTGCAAGAGTGAGTTTGACTGGGTGCACCTGCATGCATGTGCGCCTGTATGCTGCGTCTGTGTTCATGACATGGCCTGCGCTGTATTGTCCCTCACCGTTGTCATGTGCGGCGATGCTGCTGCTGCTGTTGTTGCTGCTGCCGTGTATGATGATCAACTATTTCCAGTGGATACAACACGCTGCTGGGCATCTTTGGTGCACTGCACATCTTCTTCTCCGTCCTCGTTGCCACCTCCTACTTTGCCCTCAAGCCACCGAGCCTGGCCATGTCGCTCCCACAGTGCGTACCCTGTGCTCATGCTTGCCCCCCCCCCAATGCATTGTGTCATGTGCCACCATGTGTCACTGCAGCCCGCCTTCTCGGCTGCTGCTGCTGCTGCTGCTGCTATCGTGATGAAGCTGGCGCTGTGCTTACCTGCCCTTCTTCTCCTTCACCCTCACCCTCGCTCCCTTCCTGTATCGTCATCCCCCCCCCCCTTGTCAGGTACGAGTTTATCCAGCGGTTTGTGCCACAACCGGACGAGAACGACTACCGCACGCGCAGCAACATCTTCGACATGTCAAGCTTCTACCACGTCCTCGGTACAGCTCCCTTGTCTTGGGTGGTGGTGTTGTTGTTGTTGTTGTCGTTGTTGTTGTTGTTGTTGTTGTTGTTGTTGTTGTCGTTGTTGTTGTTGTTGTTGTTGTTGTTGTTGTTGTTGTTGTTGTTGTTGTTGTTGTTGTTGTTGTTGTTGTTGTTGTTGTTGTTGTTGTTGTTGTTGTTTAAGTTGCTGCTGCTGTCGTGTGACATGATGTGCTTTGGGTAAGTGAGGGGGGAGTGGGAACAATTCACATCAGCTTATGTGTTTTCCGCGGACGGACGCTCGCAGCTTCCCTGTAACATGTTCTCACATTGCGTATGTGTGCGATTGCCTTTGCCATTGTTGTGCTTGTGCAGTTGTTGTTTTCTCTGTGCTTGGCGTGTTTTTCCACGGCTACTTCTACTGCTTCCACCTCCTGCACGTTGTCGTTGGCAACGACATTCTTCTGCGCGTCATCAAGGTTTGTCGACGCGGGTGGGCGATTGCATTTGTCGGCGCTGGGGGTGGCATTGCTTGGCATTGCTGCCTCTCGATTGCTTTGCTTCCGTTATTGCAGCAAGTAGTGCCCACTGTCCGCGTCTTCCATCTGTCATGTTTCGACACATCTCACCCCCAACATGCATCGTCTCACACAACACGTGGCATATTTGCACCTGATCTGACGTGCAGTCTGTGACGAAGAACGGCATTTCGCTGCTGTGGGTTGCGGCGCTGATGGTGATTATCATCTACATCTACTCGCTCGTCTCCTTTGCCTTCCTGCGCAAGAACTTTGATGAGAGCGAGGGCGCGTACTGCCAGACCGCCTTCCAGGTGTGTGGCGTGTGAGTGTTGTGTGTTTGTTTGTTTGTTGGTTTGTTTGTGTGTGTGTGTGTGTGTGTGTGTGTTGTGCGTTGTGTGAATGAAATGTGTCGTGTGAGTGCAGTGTGGTGCGGCGCATACACCTTGGCTTGTCCTCTGCTCGGCGACGCCACCGCTTCACAGCATCCAAGCCTCCAACACCCGCAAACTCACCCTTGTGCATCTCTCCCTTCACCAACCCGTCGTCCCACTGCATTCAGTGCTTTATCACAAGCCTGCGCCTTGGTCTTCTCTCTGGTGGCGGCCTAGGAGAAGCGTTGCCGGCTGCCACGTTTGGCTTTGCTGAGCCTGGCCTTCGCACCCTGTTTGACCTGTCCTTCTTCATCCTCATCACGACCATTGGTCTCAACGTGGTGTTTGGTATCATTGTCGACTCGTTCTCCGAGCTCCGCGATGAGAAGTACCAGACACAGGAGATTATGCAGAGCGAGTGCTTCATCTGCGGGTAAGCATTCCACACGTCCCTCACTGCAGCCGCTGGTTTGTGTGTGTGTGTGTGTGTGTGTGTGTGTGTGTGTGTGTGTGTGTGTGTGTGCTTGTTGCAACTTGGCGAGCCATATTCCTCACCCCATTCTGCCATCGTCTACCACCCACCCCCCAAATGCACTGTGTGCCCACATTACAGCCTGAAGGCGTTTGACTTTGAGCGCCACGGCAACGGCTATGACGAGCACGTCCACTGTGAACACAACATGTGGGACTACGTCGCTTTCTTCCTCCACCTTGAGGTGCGCATATGCCTGTGTGTGTGTGTGTCTGTGTTCTTTGTGTTTACTGTGTGATGTGTTGTTTGTTGAAAGGTGCTGCAGCCCTCACGAACCCCCCCCCCTCTTCTGCCGGGTCCATCTGCCTCTCACCCTCTTGTCCCATCTCGCCTTCCTCGACAGGCCAAGGACCGCACGGAGTACACGGCCCACGAGCAGTATGTGTACGAGCAATTTGAGAAGGGCGAGTACGCCTTCTTCCCAGTCAACCATTCCCTCTCCCTCGAAGGCCACCACGACAACGGGGTGCGTGGCTTACAAAGCCTGTGTGCGTGCGTGCATGCGTGCGTGCGTGTGTGCGCGCTGCAGCATGCATGGCACTTCTTGCTTCGCTTCCACCACCACCACCACCACCACGAATTCCTTTCCATTTTGGTTGCGTACTCACACGTACTCACACCAACACGCACGCCGCGCTACAGGTTGAGGAGCGGCTGACGCAGGTTGAGCGCACGCTGCAGTCTGTGCTTGCACGCATGGAGCAAGACGCAAACGAGCGCGCAGCCGAAGCGAAGCGCCGCGAAATTCAAGAGTCCATGTCGAACCTGAAGCGGCAGTCCACGCTGCAGCGACAGCAGACGGCGTCCTCTGACAGCGCAGATGAGGCCGAGGACGAGTGATTGAGCGAGTGGAAGGAAATGAACGGATGGAAGAAGTGACAAGATGGGATGAATGGATGCGACCAGTGGTGGATGAAACGAGTGAGGACCGTGAGGGCGTGTGAGGGGCTGTGAGCTGTTGCTGGCGCCTCTGTAGCTGTTTCTTCTTTTTGGTGCCGGTTGTTTATGAGGAGGATGGAAGACGACGCGATAGTTTTGTATTTTGTTTTTGTTTGTTTCATTGGTGTTTGTGGCCGTCAAGGTGGTCCGTGGTGACTTGTGAGCGCTGCTTGTTTTCTTTCTCGTATGTGTTGCATTCTTGTGTTCTGCAGCCGCCACGTTGGCGTGCTCGCAGCAGCTTGTTCATTGTAACGTATGTTGTGTTGATTTGTTTACCCAAGTTTGTGTTGCGATGACTTTCGTCACAGCAATGAACACAGCACAACGCCGTGTCAGATCTCATTCAAACACACCAAAACACACACACACACACACACACACACACACACAAAGTACAATTGAGCGCGCGTAAGTGTGGGCCCTCTCCAGTATGAATGAACGATAGTTCGATTACAAACGTGTCAGCTCAAAGAGAACATCCACCAAGTCAACATCTATCCTAACGAAACGGGCACATTTGGAACCCCCCCCCCCCAAACATTGTGGCTACTTGTCGTGCTTATTCCCACTCTTGTCGGGTCGCCCTTGTTGCCCAAACTGGTGCTGTAAGCCTTGCGGCGGCTGTTGTTGTTGTTGTTGTTGCTGCTGCTGGTTTGCATCAGAGCTGCCCTTTTTCTTGGGCTGACCAAACTGATGTTGCAAGCCATGAGGTTGTTGTGCTTGTTGCTGGTTTACATCAGGTTTGTCCTTCGTCTTAGGCTGTCCAAACTGGTGCTGCAAGCCGTGTGTCTCTTGCTTGCCCTCATCGGCGCCCTTGTTGTTTGAGGAGGCAGCTGCGCTCCGCCCTTGTCCAAACTGGTGCTGCAATCCCTGATTGGCCGCATCCGGCGACTTTGGAGCAGCGTCCTTTTGCTTTTGCTGCCGCTTGTTGGCGATAGCACGCTCGAGCTTGGCGAACGCGTCCATGCTGGCGCTCATGGAGCCGCTCGGAGACTTCGGCTGCTTAGCCGTCGCGTCGGACGAGGAGGAAGCAGAGGAGGAGGAAGAAGAAGAAGAAGACCCAGGCTGCTTCTTCCATCCCTTTTCGTTGAGCTTGCGCTCGTATTCTTGCAGCTGCAGCGCATATTCGATCCACACGCAGTTTGCGCAGCCACCTTGGCAGCAGTATGTTGGCGGCTGTGGCGGCTCGGGCATGTCGTCATCGTCGTCATCGCCTTTGCCGTTGTTGTTGTTGTTGTTGTTGTTGTGGGCCGCAGCCTGTGCAGCAAGCTGCCGCCGAGGCAGGATTCGCGTAGCCTGCTGGACGCCGGTTGTCCCAGCCCCATTCCATGGTTGCCGCCGTGAAGGGCCCTGCATTACCATCATCTGAACGTCCCTTGGAAACGTTGCACGCCCTCTTCTTGCCATCATCATGGTCCTTGCCACCATCATTATCATCGTCATGGTCGTGGTCGTGGCGCATGTCAGCACTGCCGCTGTTGCTGTGTTGTTGCAAGGGAAAATAAACCCACACTGTTTATGTTTGGTAAATTGGAGTTTGCCACAGCTTTGTGTCTCTGTGTAAAGTGAACACCCGCTCTGCGTAGTGTGCATGTGCCACCTGCGCTCTGCAGGTTTGTGCCTTTTTCTTTCCGTGCACAAGGAACAACACATCTCCGACCACATCTCAACTTGCACGTGAGAAGGATGAAGAGAAGGATGATGAAGAGATGGGGTTACTGTGGTGGTGCTGGAGGGTGCATGGTTTTGTTGTTGATGTCGTCGTTGTTGTTGAGCTCTTTTTTGTCTTGTGCGTGCGTGCGTGCGTGCCTCATCTCTGGTCTCACACACACCCCGTACTCACATACCCCGTACTCACGCACACCAACTCTCACGTTCACACCAACCGCACACACCAACTGACGCAGCAATGGCGGACAAGCAACCGACCGGTGAAAGCAGTGGTCGCGGCCGCGGCGAGGGCCGTGGTGGCGAGGGCCGTGGCCGTGGTGGCGGTCGTGGTGGTGGCCGTGGTGGTGGCCGTGGCCGCGAGGAGCGCAAGGAGTGGAAGCCCGTGACCAAGCTGGGCCGCCTCGTCAAGGAGCGCCGCATCAAGTCCATCGAGGAGATCTACCAGCACTCCCTGTCCATCAAGGAGCCCGAGATCATCGACTTCTTCTTCGGCGACTCTCTGCAGGACGAGGTCCTCAAGATCACCCCCGTGCAGAAGCAGACCACCGCTGGTCAGCGCACCCGCTTCAAGGCCTTTGTTGCCCTCGGCGACAGCAACGGTCACCTTGGCCTCGGCGTCAAGTGCTCCAAGGAGGTTGCCGGCGCCATCCGTGGCGCCCTCCTCTGCGCCAAGATGAGCCTCCTCCCCGTGCGTCGTGGTTATTGGGGTAACATGCTTGGTGATCCCCACACCGTGCCCATGAAGACCACCGGTGTCTGCGGTAGCGTCACTGTGCGTCTCATCCCCGCGCCTCGCGGTGCCGGTATTGTTGCCGCCCCTACCCCCAAGAAGCTGCTCCAGCTCGCCGGTATCGACGACTGCTACACGGCTTCCCGTGGCCAGACCGCCACCCTCGGCAACTTTGGTACGTCCTTTAAATGACACACGTGTGCGCTGCCGTTGCGTGTGTTGTGTTTGCGTTTGGTTGTTGGTGAGAGGCAAGACCCAATGTACACGCGAAGCAACAACAGCTCTGTTGCTTTCTTTGCATCGGGTCCGTGCAGCACAACACGCACTTGTTCTCTCCAATCTTCTCCTCTCTCCTATCCTCTCTCCTCTTTCCTCTCCCTGTCTCCTCTTTCTCTCTTCTCTCTCTTCCTTTTTATTTGGACTCTTCTGTTTCTGGGATGATATCAAATCTTTAACCCAACTCTCTGATCTCATGCACGACAAAGTTGTGCTTTTGTGATGAGCTTTCAAGTTCTCACGACAGTCTACTGAGAAATAGCAGTGTCCTCCTCTTCTCTTGTGTCTGATCCCGTCTCTTCCGTCTCTGCTCTCCCCTTTGTTTTTCCTTCCCCCCCCCCCTTCTCTCTCTCTCTCTCTCTCTCTCTCTCTCTCTCTCTCTCTCTCTTCGGGGATGATGACCAAATTTTAACCCAACTCATTCTGATTTATCGCAACAAAGTTGCACCCTGTGATGAGTATCTTTCCAACTCACGACAGTCTACTGAGAACAGTAGCTCTCGTCGCACACGCGCCCTTTTTGTTGCTGTTGTATCTTCTGATGTGTATTTGTTTCCCCTTGACTTCCCCCGCCACGTACCATGCATGCTTGGCGGCCTTTGCTCGTCGTCTCTCGTTGCTCGTTCTTGTTGGTGTTTCTCTCTCTCTCTCTCTCTCTCTCTCTCTCTCTGTCTCTCTCTCTGTCTCTCTCTTTCTTCACTTGTGCTGTGGTCGCAGTTCTGGGATGATTATCAAATCTTTAACCCAACTCTCTGATCCTCATGCACGACAAGTTGTGCTTTTTGTGATGAGCTTTCA